TCTAATGAATACTACGAATATGTGTGTATAACATGTATACCCCCTCGTATAATTCAACGTGTGTATACTTACCTATCTGTGCCTGCAGGGTTGTGCTGTAGCTCTAGGAGCCCGCATTTCCAGTCGCCTCTTATCTAATATAATGACTCCCGAGCTAAATTTCTCTATCACAGCTGATGTTGACCAGACCGCACACTAGAAGTTGAAGGGACGACGACGTTTCGGTCCGTCCTGGACCATTCTCAAGTCGATTGTCGACTTGAGAATGGTCCAGGACGGACCGAAACGTCGTCGTCCCTTCAACTTCTAGTGTGTGGTCTGGTCAACATACTTCAGCCACGTTATTGTGACTCATCGCCTGTCTATCACAGCTCTTCGCGTGTCTGTGATTCTTGAGCTAAAAGCAATGTTCTCAAATGCTTGTGACTCCCGTGTGTATACGCATCTTTCATTTATGCAATTGTGTGTGTTATCCGTACCATCGTTACCTCTGAGTATTTTGTATGTCTGGATCATCTCTCTTGCTTCATGTGTGCGCGCGTACGTGCGCATATATTAGTGTTGACGTGTGTGCCTTTTAATGTGCATCTCACGTATATGCGAGTTGATCTGAATACAAGTGGTGTGTGTGTGTGTGTGTGTGTGTGTGTGTGTGTGTGTGTGTGTGTGTGTGTGTGTGTGTGTGTGTGTGTGTGTGTGTGTGTGTGTGTGTGTGTGTATTCACCTTGTTGTATTCACCTAGTTGTGCTTGCGGGAGTTGAGCTCTGCTCTTTCGGCCCGCCTCTCAACTGTCAATCAACTATTACTAACTACTAATTCTTTTTCACACACACACACACACACACACACGTACACACACACCCGGCTGGCTGTGTGTGTACATGAAGCAAGTTACCTACAGCTATCCATCGTGAGGAGAAAATCATGGAAACTGAGGTCAGTGGGACAAGTGACCAGCGCGGCCACCACCACCACCACCATTACCACCACCACCATTACCACCACCACCATCACCACCACCACTGAAAGCACCAGCAGTCACTACCAACAACACCACCACCATTACCAGCACCAGGTATGATAATATCAGCACCACCACTACCACCACCATCACCACCACTAAGACAACCTGATTACCAAACAAGAAAACTTTCCAAACCAACATACCACACGCACGCACAGGAGCACGGGTGGGACACGAACAAGGGGACACAGGTGGAGACTGAGTACCCACATGAGCCACAGAGACGTTAGAAGGAACTTTTTCAGTGTCAGAGTAGTTAACAGGTGGAATGCATTAGGCAGTGATGTGGTGGAGGCTGACTCCATACACAGTTTCAAATGTAGATATGATGGAGCCCAGCAGGCTCAGGAATCTGTACACCAGTTGATTGACAGTCGAGAGGCGGGCCCAAAGAGCCGAAGCTTAACACCAACAAGCACAACTAGGTGAGTACACAGGTCATTCGAGGTGGTCCCCAGTCCTAGGCTCTGAAGGATCCAATAACTAGGTCTATGCAACAGGAATCACAGGAATGAGAGAGCCAAGGAACTTAAGGCTCTTAAGAGAGTCTAAGATAGTGATCACAGTGCTATACAACCCTCGACAACACAACACAAGAACCAGCCTAAAAGCATAAGAAAAACCCGGCTAACGAAGGCCCTGGTCGAAAGCTTTCTCGGCTGTAAGTGAGAACAAGTATTCGACTCTAATCATGGCGGGATTTCAAGCATGATGACACGACAGATTGGGAGAACAATGAATCCCCAGGGGATACAGGTTCATGACGAGGTTAATTATTGGAAGCAGCAATGAGAAACGTTCCAGGTCAACACTAATTAGTCCACCAGGTTGGGCCAATGATGAGCCAGATATTCACTTTGAGTGATTACATTGGTATCTGAGAATCTGGTCTCAGATACAGGCCTTTTATATTATTAATATATTAGGTACATCCGCATTTGTGCAGCTACACTAAACTATATGAAGGGGAGTACAGTGTGTCAAAAAGCTAGCTACGTGATGCTAAAAAATCCCCATCAGACAGGATGGTTAGTCATACAGAGGAATGTGATAAGCAGTCTGCACTGGCAGACTCTGGGTGCATTATGAGGATATCATCAACACAAGAGTGAATAAGGTAGCAGTGGTAATACAAGTCCCCATCTCGCAGGATGGTTAGTCATACAGGGCCATATGTTTAGTAGCCTGCACTGGCAAATTTTGAGAGGTGAACAGGCCACCGAACTTTAAAACTTCTCTCTCTACACCCACATCTTCTTCCAGAATTTAGGAAATGTAGATGTTTATCTCTCAGAATGTTTGGTAATATGTTTATTGTTTGTGATGTGTGTATATGTATGTATTAACACGATGTACTGAACGGGGTGAGAATAGCTTGAGCTACCTCATCCCTTTGTGTGTATTTTACCTCAATAAACTTGTTTCAATTTTCAATTTCCAGAATTTCGCCTCCCCTATCCCTCTTCCTACCCAATCCTTTCCAAACCCTTTGGACATCTAAGTTCAAGTCCAAGTAAGGACGCGCTGGTCTGCAAGGACAGCAGGAGGTACCAGTATGGCATACCGAAAGGGAAAACAGCGAGGAAATACTTTCTTTAAGGTATATCACGAGAACCAGCTCAATAAATGGAATCAAACCGCTTAAACATGAGAGCACTGAACATTTACAGAAACAAAAGACTGTCAAAGAGCAGAGAGGAGCGCCAGAGGCCCAGGAATGAGTCTTTCAGGACGAGAACAAAGAAACAGACAGGAAAATTGAAAAGGACATTGTAGCTACAGCAAGGGACTCAAATTACTCCACAGCCACATCAAGAGGAAGACCACCAAGGAACATGTCAAAATACATTATGAGGTGAAAAGAGAAACTCTATACACATCTTTAAATGAAGATATGGTAGTGCCCAATAAACTTGGGAGCGAGTACGTTAGTTGACTGAAGATTAAGAGGCGGGATCAAAGAGCTGAAGTTCATCTCCGGTAAGTAAAACTAGGCGAGTATAAGTACACAAATATACTGCTATTTTAAATAGCAGTGGAGCGTGGTCCTGGTCCATAAGGTCACCTGGAGCATGGGCCTGGTCCAATAGGTCACCTGGAGCGTGGTCCTGGTCCTAAAAGTCACCTGGAGCGTGGTCCTGGTCCTAAAAGTCACCTGGAGCGTGGTCCTGGTCCTAAAAGTCACCTGGAGCGTGGCCCTGGTCCTAAAAGTCACCTGGAGCGTGGTCCTGGTCCTAAAAGTCACCTGGAGCGTGGTCCTGGTCCTAAAAGTCACCTGGAGCGTGGCCCTGGTCCTAAAAGACATCTCCAGCGTGGACCTGGTCCAATAGGTCACCCTGGAGCGTGGTCCTGGTCCTAAAAGTCACCTGGAGCGTGGTCCTGGTCCTAAAAGTCACCTGGAGCGTGGCCCTGGTCCTAAAAGACATCTCCAGCGTGGACCTGGTCCAATAGGTCACCCTGGAGCGTGGTCCTGGTCCAGAAGGTCACCTGGAGCGTGGTCCTGGTCCAAAAGGTCACCTGGAGCGTGGTCCTGGTCCAAAAGGTCACCTGGAGCGTAGGCCTGGTCCTGGACCAAACTGTCGACCTCGAGCACAATTCTAGTCCAGTAATTGGCCTGGAAACAGTCCACAAGAGACAGCTAGTCAAGTTAGGTGGTGGGCGCGCCTGGAGGCTGAGTGATGAGCGTGGCGTCCTTCCCGCAGTGTTTAACACCCAGCACACCCACTACCACAAACTTCGTGCCGTTTAACACTTGCTAAATAGTTACCTGGCCCCCGTGTCCAACGGGCGTGTCCGGCCTCAGAGCACAACGTCGTCACGCGACTGATGCTCACCAAAGAGTCAAAAGCTCTGCTCCGGCTACCAGAACTGAGAACGCGGTCGACTTTCTTGGAAATAAAGTGTAGGAGCAAGACATATAACAAGCCATACTGGTGCCTGGGATATTAGCTGTCTGGTTGATTGATTGATGAAGATTAAGCCACCCAAGAGGTGGCACGGGCATGAATAGCCCGTAAGTGGTAGCCCTTTCGAGCCATTACCAGTATCAAAAGATGATACTGGAGATCTGTGGAGGTGCAACTACACCCTGCGTGACGGGAGATGTCTCCCGGACCAAGTGGTGACCAAATGGTGGAGCTGTCTGGTGCCTTTAATGGCTAGTTATCTAGAATCCTAGCCAATCATCCCGACTCTCCCTATTGTAATCGGTTAATAATTAATAATTAACACGAACCTTCGCCTACAGGATGGGCAGTAGTTTAACATTTCGCTCACAACTTTGTCTTGTCTCCTTGTTGTCTTACGGCCAAGGCTTATAGTAAGGCTCCCTCATACAACTCGGCTACAAGTATCTGTTGTTGTTGTTGTTTTAGATTTAGCTACTCAGAACGAAATGTCTGTGTAGCACGGGCTATAGTGAGCCCGTGAACAAGTATCTCTAGCCATTAGGCTTGTATAGTGATGTAGATGAAGTGAAGTGTAAAGTCTGTGGACAGACACACTCACACACTCTTAAGCATTACATCTTAACACTGTGATAAAAATGGAGCCATTTAGAGATGAGCTAAATTTTTATGAGCTCATTTGATTTAATATACCGTTCACGAGATAAGTACCCTGGAAACACAAACATAAACTGTTTCTATTTTCCGCTTGTTACAACTTGTAATAAAGTTGTTACATCTTGGCTTAACGTGTTTATGACGTATTAGAACGTTGTTACAACTTGCTATATTGGTTGTTATAACTGGTTAGGTGGGGTTAAAACTTGTTCGAACGTTGTACCAACGTCGTAGTTTCGGTGTGTGTTTGGTGGGTATGGGGTGCACAATATACTAGCAGCCTCTGGCGGCAACAATAAGAAATCTCATTCATTCTCGATGATGTATCTTCACATGGACTTCTACCTCAGGTCTACTGGTGCAGGCTGCTTCACTTCACAATGTACTAATTCAACCTCCCAAAAAAACATTAA